TTATTGAAATTTATATAAAAAAATCTATTTTGTTTAATTTATTAAAAAATATCAGCATTTTACATGCAAAATTCATCGATCATCTAATTTTTGATTTATATGTTGTATAAGTTTATAATTTTATATGTGATCAATACTGGTATTGTACTTGAATTTTGAAAAATTTTAATGGGTGTTATTAATTAACTTTAAGAATTATGAGGGGTCAGATACTTATGACCACTACTGTACCTAAATTTATATCCCAAGTTAATTTTACTAAGTAAAAAATTAAATAACAAATAATAAATGATCAATTACTTAAAATGGTCGATTTTAGAATATTAATCAACAAGAGAAATGATCTTCAGGAGGAGATTAAGATCTCTAAGATGATTTTGATTTAATCAAAAAGATCAAATATAATCATTGAATCCACTCTGATAACTCAGATCATGTGATATTCCATAATTTCTCTTTAAAGAAAAATTTATAGAAAAAAGTAATACTCAACAGACAGACAACCATTCTCGGGATTAATTAACAAAATAATATCGATGTAAATTGTTTGTAAATTATGACTATTTTTGAATATTTGTATGCGAAATTATGTCAATCCACCTGCTATACACAAGACATGTCGCAATTTGGGGTGGGATAAATCGATTGAACCTAATATAGTTACTCTCCTATCAAGAAACCAATGATTTTATAAAAATTGGTTGCATAAATTGCATATTGAGCATCGGAATTTCAATTTTGCCAATGATGGTTAATCTGACAATCACCTATTTTTGACAATTTTTGTTCATAAATCCGGTTTGATGACTGTGGCTCTTTTTTTTTTTTTTTTTTTTTTCCTCCATAATCAATTCTTTATAAAAAATTATCATAAAAATAACACTTCCTATTTCCTATCCTATCATAATTATTCCCTTTTTTTTTCATTAAATAGAAAGATGGCTAATCTATTTCGAGGACCCGAACGTTCATCATATAAAGAATTTACCCCATTTGCATATTTCTCTTATCAATTAGGTCGAGAAACTTTTCAACAAGGTTACCTTGGTATTACAAGCAATGTGTCAATCGTTGGTTTGTTGAACCTTAGATTTCCTGCACAACAACCTTTATATGCAAAACAAATACAGATTCATTTTTTAGGAACTGAATGTGTTCAAATACAAGGAACAGGTCCAAAGGTTTTAGTTTATGATACAAATCCAATCTGTACGGTGACCATCGAATTATGGAAAAGTCCGGATGATAAATATCATCAAATCCATGATATGGATTTACCTTTTGAAATTCCACTTCCGATTGACATACCTTCAAGTATGTCCATTGATAAAGGACGTGGGAAAATTGAATATTGCCTTCAAGCTATCATATCAAAGAGATCTAATTTTCGAGGCTCGGAAAAGATCATACAATGTGCTTACGATGTCAATCGTTACATTTTACCACCTTTACCTGAACCTAGACAATGGATAAAGGAAGATCCAATGAAACAAGGAATTAAATATGAAATCTCTTTAAACAATAATGTTTTTGGACCTCGTTGTCCAATTGTAGTAAGAATGAAGTTAACGTTCTATGATCCTCGTGTTTCCCTGGAAAACATAGTAATAGGCTTGAGAGAATATACTGTCATTGCAGATCAATCCGAATTTGATATTAAAAAGAAGAGTAAATATAAGTTGAAAACGATATTAAAAGGTAGACAGATATCAATGACATCAGAATCACAATACAGTGAATGTACAACGGATATCCAATTTACAATACCCGAAGACTGTGTTGGTAAACTGACTTGGTCACATGAAAGTTTTAATATCGCGGTTTTTCACAAGCTAAAGATCAAAGTTAGGTTCGGTCTGTTTAGCAAATATAATTTTAATTTAGATGTTCCAGTAAAAATTGTAAATATGTTAAGTGTTGAAGAAGAAGAATTTTTGGCTGATGAAGTTTTACATCAACAAGAAATTTCAATTTATTCGGATGCTCCTCCTCCCGCTTATGAACCAGATCGGTTTACTAACCCGGTTTCTCTTCCCCTTTATTCATCGTAAACCAAACATTATTTTTAGTGGTATAGTTAGTACAATTTCATTTTTTTAAAAAAAAAAAATAATAATAATTGGAGTATTGTTTTGAAGCAAATTCATCTTTATAGACATTTTCTTATGAACCATTACTCAACGCGAACAAAGGTGTTTAATAAGAAGCATCAATTAATCGAAATCAATTTCTTAAGTAATATAACAAATAAAATATAACAAATAGAATACAATATATCTAAATAAAGGAGAGAAAAAAAAATAGATTAGGTTAATTATAATCGAAGTTGGAAATCCATTACATTGTCGAAAAGAAATTTTTTCATTGACACGGTATATATAATTTCTTAATTAATCGAAAGATATCAGAAAACAAAGTTATATTGTAAAATAATTATGTCCGAACGCATTCGATTGTACTAAAAAAAAATTAAAAATATGATATAATGATACAAAAAAGATAAATCTAAAATTTTACGAATAATAACTATAAAAGTTTATAAAGTATATAACGCTCTGTATTTAATGATTCTCGAACGATGAGACTGTACTAACATGCTCTAATTAAAAATAAACTATTGCAATAATTCTAGCTGGAACACTGTGAGCTGTCGAGACTTCTATCACTCTTTGCAATAGCTTCGTTTCTTTAACACAGAATCCGACAATCTTCTTCAGATGCGGTTGTTACACAAACGAGAAAATAAAAAAAAATATTTTTTTAACGCTTTTTAATAATATTTTAATAAAATTTAAAAGATCAAAATGAAAAAAAGATGAAATAAAGTATAGTAAAAAAAACGAGTAAATACTATCACTAAATTTTCAATCTTTAAACATAATTCTACATGTTAAGGATTATATCATTGATACCCCTTGAAATAAAAATATTATTTTCTTTCAGAAAGTAATTTCTCTGTTCCAAAGTAACATGTTCATTTCCGTAGGTATCGGCCAAGTGATTATACAAAAAATTGGAACCTTTAAGACATCTCTCATCAACTATATTAACGGAGAATTCGAAATGCTTGATACTTTTATTGGCCACTTTTCGAGCCAAATCAAACCCTTTAAGAAATGATTTTAATTTTTCATTCTCCTTACTATCAAGAAGCTGATACTTCATGTCAAAAATCACTTTTGGATGCAAATTACTATAATTTTCATTTATAACGGAAACAAAATTTTCCAATTTTTCTAATCCTTCTCTTGTTTCTAATATCATTAATATTGCTTTAGCAATTGCACAGACAAACCATTAGCAATAACTAAACATGCCTACCTCCTGAAAATGCCCTCGCTGCAGTCATTCCAGCAAGAATACTAGTTCCTGCCATTCCTAATGCTTCCATACCTATCACACCAATCGCGAGTGGCATGAAAGCAATACTAGCAACAGCAGCACTAGCAACGCTAGCAGCAATGGCAGTGCCTGCTAACGCACGCTTTGCTATAATAAAAGGTGATAAGCGTATGAACCCATCCTCTTTTAAAGAATCAAAAATGAACCCTTTATAAATGTTTTCAACGGGAATAGTTTCCATTCTAAAAGGGTTTTACTGTCGAAATTACTTTTTTTCTCTGAAAGATATTTTTGATTTTACGCTTATTTATATCTGCTAATCGCAAAGAAATTTAATAATAGTCTACCACATGAGAATGCTTCTAGTCATGAGATTATAGTAAACAATCTGATCCGAATGTTTATGGGAAAATTTATTGTTATAACTTTAGCCCCCCCCCCCAAAAACGCCATTTCTCTACGACAAACATTTTCTTACGTACAAATTTTCTTTTGCTTAGTAAGGTGAACGTTATGTGCAAAAAAAAAAAAAATTCGAATTCTTGCTGCGCCTTATCAATACTTCTTATTGTAATTCATTTCATTGTAAAAAAATAGTAGTATTTATATTAAGATTTAATTTATATTCCTAACATTCTCATAAAATAGAAACACTTTAAAACAAATAATTTGATAATAACATCAATTTGCTTAAAAAAAGAATTACTCTTGAGAAAATCAAGGATTATTCAAATTCAAGGTATAGCTTCCCGGTTTCGAAATAACGTGATCATTTCCGTAGGTGTTGATCAAGTGTTTATGCAAAAATTTAGAGCCTTCAACATATTTTACATAAACCAAAAATTCGAAATTCCTGATTCTGTCTTGGGAAACTTGTCTAGCCAAGTCAAACCCTTTGAGAAATGATTTTAATTTTTCATTCTCATTACTTACGAGAAGTGGTTGCTTCATGTCAAAAATCAATTTTGTATCACTAAATTCATAAATGGAAACAAAATTTTCCAATTCCGCTAATCCTTCAGGATTCGATTCCGATATCACTAGTATAGCTTTAGCAATTGCAGCCCCTCCAGTACTGGCAGCAAGAAATCCCCCAATACCTAAACCAGCTGCACCAACCGATTGTAAAGTCGCCACAAGGCTACCCGCAGCGACAGTTCCACCTTGTAATGACATCATCCATGCCGCAATAGATCCAGCAGCAATACCAGCTTCACCAAATCCTAATGCTGCTACTAACCCAGTAACCGCGAAAGGACCCAAAGCAGCACCGGCAACTATCGCCGCACCTGTTAACAAGTACTTTTTATTTCTACTAACAAAGTTTTCTTTACTTTGTCTCTTGCGTATGAACTCATCCTTCATGAGAGCATCAAGAATGATACTCTTATAAATGTTTTCAACAGGAATCTCTGAATAATTCTACCATCTTACTATCAAGATTCTTCAGAAATTTTTTTGAAGTCGAACTATAGAGTTCTGAATTATTTTTATATTTTCTTTTACAAAATCGCCGATACGGTCATGTCCAGATATTAGTTTTATCATATAATTATTGTTCTAATGTTATATGGAAAAATTTGTTGATTGTTGAAGTCCTCCAATCGAGCATATTCTAATAAATTTTTTCGATCATAACGACAATAGTTTCAATGCATATTGTTGTTGGTTGGTTTAAATGATCTACATGAATAATATTTGTTAATTTCTGTGATAAAATTTTGCGCGAAACTTTATATTTTCATGTGATAACTATTAGATTTTTCAGTAATATGTTTCCAGATTTATTTACAGAGATAATTGTGACGCGATGTGTATCTTCGTAATTGTACCAAAGAGGGCTATAATTGAACTCATTCTACAAATGGATAAAATTATGATGTAGAAATTTCGTTACGACAAGTTATCACTTTCGGCAACAGTGGCAGTAACAAGTAGATAAAAGTCTTATTCATCAATACCGTATATTATTATCGAAATTTCTGCGGACAAAATTCCCATGAATTAGCCAATTATATATCATAAAAGTAAGTACGATAGAGTAGGAATTTTTAATAATGATCTAAAAATTATTTAATTAACGATTCGGAAAAGAATGTCTCATTGATTATTTAGAACATAATTAATATACATGAAATACAAGTAAAAGAAAAGAATGAATAAAAATAAATTAAGATTATCCTGAGCTCTTTCATAAATATATTTATAGAACGTGTCTTTTTAAAAAAAATTAATTGATTTAACTGCTTCTTTACTTAAACATATATGAAGTATATTAGACACCTCATGGATTCAGAAACAATTTAAGATTTCTGACCTAATTAGCTAATGTTACGATTTTTCCGATGTACTGCCATGATCTTAGAATTCTGTATATAATACTAGTTTTTAGTCGAGCTAACGAAATTATTTAAATAATCAATCCATCTCTTTATAGGTAGAGAAAAGGCAATTCCAATTTTTTTTTTTTCTAGTATTTATCCAATCCAGTATTTATCAACTTCTTGTAATACGGTAATTCATTTACATTTTTATCCTTTCTTAATACCTTAAACTCCATAATTACTGCTGTTTCCTTAACTCGACATCCCTTCTGGTTCAATTTTCATATCGAACCGTCATAACTCTGTTCGAGACTAATTTATACCCGAAATCGAATGAAGAGTTGGACCCATTCTCCGATTGATTTCGTATCAACATAATTATATTTGGAAAAAAAATTCCTCAAATGTCTTGACGTCGCCCTCCCCCCACGGCAGCATGATCCACTAAGTTGGAAAGAATGGGGGATTGGAAGCGTTTGCTTCCATTTTTCCTTTACATCTTTATTATTTTTGAAAAAGGAATAAAAAAAAAAAGTGATAAATACCTACTACTGTTATTCTATTAAAAAAAAAAAAAAAAACGAAAGGTACCAAATCTAATCTCACGGCGACGTCTTTTCCTCAGCTTGTTCATAGCAAATTGATATAAATTTGAAAATATGAAAAATATTTCAGCTTATTCTAAGGATCCCTTCCTAACACGGACCTTGTAATAAAATAAAATCAATTCGAAATTATAATGACAAGTTTATCTGATTCATTCTTTTAATGAAGGTTCAGAAAGCTAGAATTATTTTAGGATGCAATCATACCCTATTGGAGCTGTTGCTGTTGTATACTTTAAGGTGTTTGGGGTGGTTTTTCCTGTGCAATTGCTAGTATTTTTATTTGGTAACTCGATAATTTTAAATTATAATAAATATGTCTAAATTAATATATGGTAAGACTAATATCTGGTCATATAAATAATCGTAAAAATTGCAGGATTCTGTAGAAAATGTCAAATTCATCTGAAAATCCAAAAGAAATTTTTAAGGGACTCATTCTTGATTCTTTAGAAAAGGATGGATTCAAACTCTGGCCACAAATTTCGGAAATCCTTTCTAGAAGATTTTCAAAGAATAGGAATTTGTTAACCAAATTTGCAATCATAATTCCTGTAGTTGGACTTGGAGTTGGACTTGGAGTTTGCGTTGCCGGTAAACGTTGTATTTTTTGAGGATGTACTTTTTATCTTGTTCAATTTCTAAAGCAATACTGATGATATATGATATTAGAAAGTTTTGCAGAATTGAAAGATTTGTCTCCATTAAAAAAGAATATGAAGAAAATAGTTTGCATCTAAAAGTGATTTTTGTCATGAAGTATCAGTTTCTTGATAGTAAAGATAATGAAAAATTAAAATCATTTCTTAGAGGGTTTGAATTGGCTCGACAAATGTTCAAAGACAGTTTCAAGCATTTCGAATTCTCCGTTAACTTAGTTGATGAGACATGTCTTGAAAGTTCAAAATCTTTGCATAAACTTTTGACCGTTACCTACGGAAATGAACATGTTATTTTAGAATAGAGTAATTCCTTTCTGAGAGAGTCTGGTGCTTTTGTTTTAAGGGGCCCGATTGATAAGATAATTCTTCTTCTTTAACATGTAGATTTAATATCAAATTTTTGTTTTATTTTATATTTGAATTCTGGGATTATGAATGAATTTTTCATTTCTTCCGGTGATTTTTATAAAAAATTTCGTTAATTCTATTTTTATAACAATAAATACCAAGCATAGATCCTGATCAATAATAACGATCATTTCGATCAGTTTTTGAAAAATCTTTGGGAGACGAAACTGTTACTTTGAGTACTGATTTTTCTTATAGAATTTTGTATGAAAAGCTGTAGGTTCTAATTAACTGGTTAGATCAAAATGTTTAATAACATTATTGGATTTTTAAAAAGGTGTTGTTATCACTTATCATTTTTATGAATACTCGTTATTACATAATATATTTTCAAAGTTTCAAAGAACAAAAAAAAAAAACAATGACAAGGAAATTTCAGAGAGATTTAAAGAAACTTTGCAAACACAATTTTCAATAACAAGATTAAAGAAGACTATAATATGCGATTGGCTATTACTGTTTCATTGAATATAATTTCGCCCGAAAACTCCATAATTCCGCATGAAAGTCGCTTTCGATATTTGCAGTTGCCAGGCTAGTCTGACAAAATGTCAAGACGCCAGGCTGGCCTAATAATACGAGCTGGAAATCCTTAAACAGCTCAACGTTCCACGCTCGCCTTATTATACTTTGCATACATACACCCCGAAATCCTTCCTTTAACCCCTTCGCGCCTTCGCCGTTTTAACTTTTAAAATTTCGTATTTGTAATTTCGTATAATTTTAATTTCCGATTTTCTTATTTTATTATTCAATTTTTCGTAATTGTGATAGTGTAGAGCGCCGACGTTGATTAATTTGACATGTTGTTATTAAATAAAAATTTGTCACAATTACTTCATTTTTACTCAATAATATCCAACAAAACCTTCTGCTTACATTACATAAATAAATACATAACGAAAGGACTGAATACAACACTACGCAACAATAACAAATATTTAGACGCAAAATAAGAATTGATCAGCGCCATTGAGACATTGCTATTACTATAATTATAATTATGACCATGATGTTTTTATCATAAAGTGTTGCTCACTTGAATTAACGTCAACATCAAGAAAAGGTTGAGGAAATTTCCGACAAGTATAAAAGGTTCGAAGAAGACTTTTTTACCGAAATCACAACGTTCGATGGTGATTCAAGTTACTTATTTTAAAGCAATATAATAAATATTCTAAATACTTCAAAGAAATCTTTGAAACATACGTAAAGTCTGAGGAAAGAGCATAATCGCTTTGTCTATTATATTTTTATTTATATATTTATGATTTATGATATATGGAATAAAATAAAGATTCCTTAGAATTTGTGACTGAGGTGGGTAGTTCTGACACTCGGCCTGGTTATGTTGACAAAACATTTAAGGCATTATAATATTATACCTAATTTAAAAGCGATTTCTACGATTAAAAAGTTCATTTATTTAATGTATAGAAAACGGAAACCGTTAAAAGTTCAAAACTTTCCAATGAAATAATATGATGTTACATTACACGACGACCTTGCTTTTCCTCCGCCACGTTTCGGACAATAAGGTGAATTATTATTTAAATTTAACCCTCAACACGATTACAAGAATCCACTAATGCTAATTCAACCAAGATAATCGCAATAACTTGCCAACCGTTAATCGTAAAGACGCGTCGATTGGTAGTAAATTTGCATTTCTAGCATAAGTATCTGTCTAGCTATCATATAATGTTTAAAACTTCTAACAAGCTTTTCATCTATCGATGCTAAAGTTATGAATTATCAACATTCGATGAGTCTCATCTGAACGAATCAATGAGTTATATTTCATATATTTAGGCAACAAATATTTGTAACTTTAAAAAAATATTTAAATTTTCGGCAAAAAAAATGTACAGTTTTAAGTTTATAAATGTCGAGAAGTTTCATACTCGTTGATGAAATATTTCGAAATGTTCTTGAGACGTGATTTTGTTAATTTGCTAATAACATTATTATCCACCGATGCTAGAGATACGATTTAATCACCATTCGATACGTCGCGTCTAGACGAATCCAAGAGCTGTGTGCATCTTTTTTTAGATCAATAGATGAAGAGTGTTGCGGTATCACTCGCACTGTTCGAAGACTTTGAGCAGTCTCTATCGTCACTGATGGTACTACGTTTTGATAGCACTGACGTAAAAGAACATACAGTATCTATTCTACAAAAATACTGAAATGCTGATAACCAAGTTCCTCAAGTAATGGTTTCTTCGATACCTATCATCTAGAGTATATAGTAAAGTATCGATCACGTAAAAATTTTTCTTTGGTAGAAGAAAAGGAGAAATCGAATTCAGAAAATTAAAAAAAAAGCGGAGGTCCGTGATTTCAACCAATCAGGCTAAAATCAACTTGTTAACCATTTTAACCGGTAAATTAACCGATTAGAAATCCAACCTCCTTTAGAGCATCCTGACTGTATCGTTTACTGTAAAAGAAAAAAATTTTTTTTTCTTAACTTTGACTTTCATTTGCCGAATAACCGACAGCTTATAAATCTTTAAATGTCAATTTTTTTATCATAAAATATTTAAAATATTTGCTTGCTCGAGTGATGGACTTACGCAATGATTTCCTAACATTTCAACATGAAATAAAGGAGTTTTATAAAAAAAAATGAAATTGCTGAAAACTACGCGCCAACATGAAGAAAAGTTTAAGGAATTTGTTTCCGAGAACCATTAAATATCTGACAAGGGCTGATTTATTAATTTTATCCTTTTATGGTTTCGGTTTTGGTTTTGATCTGTTTGATGTTTGTCTTTTACTGTGACATTATATCAATTTGTTATTTTTTTTTTTTTTTTTATTTTTTTTAAAAAAAAAATATTGGTTTAAATGAATATAATGAATTATCGTTATTTATTATTTTTGTTTTTTTTTTGTATTTAATAAATTTTTTTTTTTTTAAAAAAAATAAAATTAATTGCTTAAATTCCAAAAAATTAATACTTGTTTTTAAATAAATGCATATTTGATATTTTGGTTGAATTATCATTCTATAAATTTATTCAAATGTAAAATTGATTGACGATATGGTTGATGATTTAAATTCAATTGACTCATTTAAATAATAATCATCTTAAAGGTTTTCTTCCATAATCTTAAATAAATACAAATAAATGTAAGAATCTCTTGCACGCTAACAAAACAAACGTTATGTTTGTGCGTTGGCATATATTCTAAATTAATCTTGTGAAATTATAACATCATCAAATTCGGAATTTTGAATAAAATGATTTGTTGATTTCACGTATTTTAAAAAAAATTTTACCAAAAAATAAAATTAAATGCACATTGAATATATAATATATTAACAGCAAGTCACTTTATCAAATAAAATATGTTCCATAAAAATTTCCCATTGATTCTTTGTTCTTTATTCATTTAACTTTAACTACAAAGAATTCTCGAAAATATCAATTAAAATCAAAAATCTTCAAAAATGTTAAAATAATTTACTCTAGTCATTTGTCCATTTGGGCTCTCGCTTTTGAACAAAAGCGCTCATTCCTTCCTTCTGATCATTCTATAATAACAGGTAAAACAGATTAAAAACGCGTCTATAAAAAACAAAAAAAAGAAACCGTAATTATAAAAAAAAAATGCTTCTTACCAATGAAAAAAGACTATGGAATAATCTTCTTTCAAAGTGACATCCTTCCTTCAAGGATAATTCAAATGCTATAAACAAATTTTCGTCAGTTAAACGAACTTATTCATAAACGCAAGACTTCCTTTCCACCCTCTTACATTTTCACCCACCTGCATTAATTGATTCTTTAGCAGCCTGAATAGCCGGTTGGGAAAGATTTGCAATGTCTTGACCCAATTTTATGGCTTCATCAAGTACTTTATCGGAAGGCAATATTTTACTAACCAAACCCCACCTTTCAGCTTCTTGAGCACTAAAATTACGACCCGACAATACAATTTCCATCGCTTTAGATTTTCCTATTGCTCTAACTAATCGTTGGGTTCCTCCAGCGCCTTCCCATTCAGAATATGGAAAGTCACATGATTAAAATTTTATTAATTACATTAAAATTTGTAGAAACATCATCATCACTTTTACCTGGAATAATACCCAACTTGATTTCTGGTTGTCCGAATAATGCTTTTTCACCAGCATAAATTATATCACAACACATGGCCAATTCGCATCCACCGCCCAACTATAATGATTCAGCATAGTAAATATTTGTGTTGAATATTCATCCTATGATCCAATATATATAAATATATACATACGGCAAAACCATTAACAGCAGCAATAGTTGGTTTTTTGATATCATTAATTTTTCCCCAATGTCCAAGAAAATTATATTTATACACCTGAGCGAATGTCTGATCCGACATTTCTTTAATATCAGCTCCCGCTAAATAAAATGCATTGATGTCATCAATAAATTATGCGTTGAGGGGGGAAAAAAAGAAAAATCCAAACTAAATATTTTACCTGCAAAAGCACGTTCATTGCCGGTAATAACAATAGCACCAATGTTGGAATCATCGTCATACTTTACTAAAGCATCATTAACTTCATGGAATAAATCGTTCGATAAAGCGTTTAACGCTTTTGGGCGATTTAACGTAATTAAACCAACTTTCCCATGGGATTCCGTTATAATATTATTATAATGTGGATCGCTATTCGCATAACCTTCTTTAATTTTATATATTTTTATATTATAATATATAAATATTTTTTTTTTAAAAAAAAAAAAGAAAATTTTTTTAAAGACGACTTCAAGCAAAGGAGGAAATTCCTCCATCATTTGAAAACTTACTTTGCAATGCACCGAATGTACTAAATTTAGCATTATTTGATGCTATCAATAATTTAGTAGCTTTACTTCCTCCTTTACTTAACGGGCGTAAAAACGTAAACATTTTCTTTTTAAAAAAAAAAAATAAGATGTAATTTATCTGTATTTATAATAAAATCCAGGGTCCTGTATTGCGAAGATCGTTGAAACAGTAGACGAAGGACAAAAACCCAATTTAGGTTGGTTCTAAAAGAACAAATCATGTGAATCATTTGTATTGTCTACATCATTTATTAAAATGGTTGTGATTGAAACAAACAAGACAACGGTTTGCAACAAAGAGAAAAACAATGATATCAAAATACATAAAACAATATGGCGACCTGATACTCGATGAATCACTTAAATTTCTTCACACGTTTGTATATTATAATATATAATGGAATGGTATAAAGGGTTTAATATAATTACTCTGAAAATTTTCAAAAATAGACATGATTGAATCGAGAAAACGGAACTTCTAAATTCTTGAATTAGCAAGTAGAGATTTCAAAGCGATACTAGAAGGACTTTATCATATCCAAGAATTCTGAGGAAAAAAAAAGTAAAACCTTTTAATCAATATATCTTTTGCGAATAAAAAAAAAAAAAATCATTTTAATCTTTCATACCTCATCTTCACGACGATTGCTCAAAATTCTTTCCAACAATTCTGCATTATGATCCTTTAATTGATGCGTATTTTTACAATTTCTTTGTATAATCAACTCGGGATACGTGCGAATATAAGTTACAACAAAAGATATTGTGGTCAAGTATAGAATAAATTTTGATGATAAATCTTTTTCTTTGATACGGATGTTGGTATTTATGTGCGCCATTTCTTGAAATTTTTTAAAGTTTGACTTTACAAGAAAGAAATTTTTCTTGAAATATGAAATTCTAGGGGAAAAGACAACTTATTAAATACTTGAGCTAATAAAAAATCCTGGAATTTCCAAACGTGGCTACAAATGCCGTATGCATGATTTATCCATAACCGTTCATTACTCACATTAATACAAGCCTCTTTCAAAATGAAGATACCATATCACATGATGTACAAATATTTTGTCCAGTTCACGTGAGAGAAACCAATTAGAATATTACAACGAAAAAAAGCCTCATGTTAAGCAAATAATATATAAAACGTGAGAGGTTTTTGTATTATTACTAAATTAAGATGTGAAAACAATATCTTTATTGGGTAATCCGAATTTTTCTCGCAATTATATAATTTTAAATGACATTAGATTGTATTAGCAGAGTGACATTTGTGGACTTAATATTCTTCAGAAAGATTATTGTTTTTTCTTTGTGTATTACTTGATTCAGAAAACGAATTAATTAAAAAAATAGTAGCACCAGTTAGAAGAAAACGCGTAAAAGAAATGCAACTTAATGACATTTAATATAAATTCCATATCGATTAATTATTACAGGATTAAAGTTAGAAAAAGATTATTAAAAAGACCATCGCATAAAAGAAATTGTTATAAGAATTGTAAAGATCCTAGCCATTTATCAGTTTATTGCTTATTCAAAAAACAAAGGTAATAAAAAAATTAAATTTATAAATTCGTTTTAAAAGAGAAATTAAATTTACATAATGTAAGAAATAATTCGATAATACTATAACTTACAACAGTCTGTGATATTCTAGTTAACAATTCGAAATGTAAAAAGAATGTATTTAAAAATGACAGAAATAATAATTTATGACAGATATTTGAAGCATATTTGGCAATTAGGCTAACTGTGATTATTTTTCTAGAAAAAAAAAACTGATCTTACATTGTTTCTAATTATCTTGATTAATACCGCGAATAAATGTTCTAATATTGTTAATTTCTTCATTACTGCGGATGAATTAAAAGGTTCCCGATCATTTTCTAAAATACAAACATCCTTCTTTAACGAAAGTGCGAAAACATAGCTGAATTTAAGTGACCGATAATTGTTTGGCGTTGCGTAAGAAAAACTGGTGTGAGCGAATAGTAATTCAGCATTATTAAAAAGCGGGCCTCTGAACCCTAACCCTGATTTACGTAATAAATTTGTTTTTTTTTGCCACATGATCTCGATAAAGAAAATTTCCTTTTTTATATGATTACGCCGCATCAACGTATTGTAGGTCTTCGACCGAAATAGTTACTCCATTCATATCCAATTATTATAGCACGAGACATCAAATGTTTCCAATTATATTATTAAAAAAAATCATGTCGGGTCCTTTTGGAGTATATCGGGATTAAGCGAAAATCATACGGTAAACCATTTTTAACAAAAAAGATTATCCTTAAAGGTTTTTAAAGATTGAATTTTAGTTTATTAATAAAAAAGGGGATTTTGTCTTTTATGATGAGTAATGAATAATTAATACGGAGACGATTTACAATGTATGCACGCTGCAATACGATAATGTTTTTTTTTTTGAAGGGCAATTGTACAACATGAATTATATATATATATTCACGATTTGACATGTTTGTTGAACAAAAAAAAAAATTTTATTATGACATCCAATATTAAAATCCTTAAACCTTCGGATCCACAAGGTTCAGATTTATTATCTCAAGAAAGAGCCAGAACAACGTTCGATGTTAAAAAACTTACTTTGGCGTTGTATGGTTCCAAAGAATTGGAACGTCTTAATAGAATTTTAGAAATAGTGGAAAACGATCCAGTGTTCGATAAGTCTAAAATATATTATATGGGAAGAAATGAATTATTCGAACACGCATTAAAAAAAGACAAGAGATTAGTACAATTGATCAAGTATAGATAATGTTTTCCCCTTTCTATAATTATTTTTGTACTTAATTAAACAAGCACTTAATTTGATTATTTTATTTATATGTAGAAAACATAGATGGAATGTTGAAGAAACTCATATCGCTGAATTATTCCTTGATTTGCCAGGGCCCGTAAGTGCATATTAAAATTTTACCTTTATAGTGTAATTTAATTACAATCATAATTCTCATCTTTAATTAACAGTTTGGACTTCACCGAGGGATGTTCATACCAACTATTTTCGGTCAAGGTACTGAAGAACAAAAAAAGAAATTCCTTATTCCAGCTATTAAATATGAAATCATCGGATGTTATGCACAGACCGAATTAGGTCACGGCTCCAATGTTCAAGGGTTAGAAACAACTGCAACCTATATTCCAGAAACAGATGAATTTGAAATACATTCTCCTCATTTGACTGCCTCTAAATGGTGGATTGGAGGTTTAGGAAGAACCGCGTAATGTATAATTTGTAAAGTCACGTGTTTCTTTTTTAATTTTTTTTAACCTTTTCTTTACCTTTTTTTTTTAATCCACAGTAATCATGCTGTCATCATGGCACAGTTGAAAAGTAATGGAAAGGATTTTGGTCCTCATCCATTTATCATTCAGATTCGAGATATGGAAACGCATCAACCCTTATCTGGTATCACAATTGGAGATGTTGGTCCCAAATTTGGGTACAATGCCACCGATAATGGGTTTATGCTCTTTGATCACGTACGAATTCCAAGATCCAACATGCTCTCCAAATACTCACAAATAAAGGAGGGTACGGGAGAATATATAAGTCCACCGAATGATAAATTATCTTATGGTACCATGGTTTTTGTACGTGCCATGATTGTCACGGGTGTACGCGTTGCACTTGCGCGTGCTGCCACGATTGCAATTCGTTATTCTGTTGTGCGAAGACAATTTGTTGACAAAGATGAACCAAAGAAATTGGAAGACGGGTAAACTTTTTTTTTAAAAAAAAAAAAAAAAAAAAAAAAATTTGAAAATTTAAAATTTAAAATCGATTTTTATGATTTTTAACGCATCTCTTTATTTACTTTCTAGTCGAATAGTTGAAACGTCAATATTGGATTACACTATGCAACAATATAGATTGTTCCCTGTAATCGCCCAAGCTTACGCGTGTTTCTATACATCTAAAGCTATGGTTGACTCATACTTGAATTACATGAAACAAAGTTCTGGTGGTGACTTTTCTTCATTAGCGGATTTACATGCCTCAAGTTCGGGATTAAAATCTTTGGCAACTTCAATGGCAGTGGATTCAATCGAAGATTGTAGAAGAGCATGTGGTGGTCATGGATATTCAAGTTTCAGTGGATTTGTTACCTTTTATCAAAATTATTTGCCAAATACAACTTGGGAGGGTGATAATTATATCTTGACGCATCAAACTGCTCGTTATGTAAGTAAAAGATGATGTAACGTCTTCGTGAAGTGTTTTTTTTTTTAAAAAAAAATCAACTTTATTTATTTATTTATTTATTTTTTAAATAGCTTTTTAAAACCTTTCGGGAAGTAGTATCAAATAAGAATCCCGAAGCATACTCTCAATCCAATACAAATCCAACAATTACTTATATTCTTCAATTTCTAAATAATCCAAATCAAACTTGTACCGCAACTACACCATCGGATTTCAAAAATCACGAACTCCAATTAAGGGCATTTGGACATCGAGCGGCATACCTAATTGCCAATGCAGTTGACCAAATTGATAATCATAAAAAATCATGGAATTCCATGTTAATTGAAGTCAACAGGATTTCACGCGCACACTGTCAATATATCCTGGCAAGAAATTTTATAACGGCACTTCAGAAAAGTCATCATCCGAACGAAGATGAAAGGTTACGCGTATTACATGATAGTCCTGAATTAATGGAAGTTATGAACTCTGTATGCAATTTATTTGTATTAAACACTATGGAAAAAGAATTGGGAGAATTCCTTGAATGTGGATATATAACATCATCTCAATCTAAATTAATAAGATCTCAGGTTTATGATTTATTAAAAGAGATAAGACCAAATGCTGTTAGTTTGGTTGACGCGTTCTACATTCCCGATTTTATGTTAAAATCCGCACTTGGAAGATATGATGGTAAAGTTTATGAAACGATGTTTGATTGGGCTTCTAAGGAGCCATTGAACGAAATTACCTTGGACGTCAATCCTAATAGCGAAGTGTTATTTAGAAACAATGATTATAAAGGAAAGGCTAGACTATAAATTATTTATTTATTTATTTTATTTAGATTTTAATGTATTTTTAAAATTTTGTATTCTTAATTAAAAGTTAGTATATAGAGTTTAATAAATTTATTTCTTTATATATATATAATTAAATGTCATTTTCAAATTATAATTAGCTTAAATCGTAATTTGCAATTTAATTAAAAATAAAATTTATCACTTCGTGAATTGTTTTAGATGAATCGTTGATGAATTCTTTAAAAGACCGAACTCCTCTCACGGATCTTTCCTAAATAGCAAATTTCCTGTCGATTTATAAACGTAGATTGTGAAACGAAAATAAAATCTCGATCGATGAGGTCCCATGTGTTTCTGTAAAACTACAGAAATCATACGTATATTGGAAATCACGTGAGATATTTGAATTAGATCAAATTGTGAAATTAATGGGCGTAGACCTTTATCCTAAACCGCAACTGTATATGTCACGTGATACATACTTTAAAAAAAATTATTTATACATGGGGTTGGACGATAAGGGTCTACACCCCCTCCCTAGGTTAAGGACGCCCGAAATTAACTTATGCGCCCTGACAAAAATGAGAAAAGTCACATGTGTGGTGGCAAACTTGCATGATTTAAAAAAAAATTTCTGAGAAACAAAAAAAATTTTTTTCGACAGTAAGACCCTTTAAAATGGAAAATATTTCCGTTGCAGATATTTTCAGAAGTCTCATTCTCGAAACTTTAATAAATGATGGCTTTATTAAACACAAGCCGATAAGTGCTGAAAATTTTTTTAAAAGTCATCAAAAAGTTGTTAATGACAGGTACCGTAGTTGTTGCTTGAGCTTCTTTGAGTCCCGTCGCAATTGGTGGTGTAGTAACAGCGTTAGGATTTAATAAAGCTGGTATTTGTGCTGGATCGATTGCAAGCATGGATGATGTCGTTACAAGGTGGAGCTGTCGCTGCGGGTAGCCTTGTGGCGATTTTACAATCGGTTGGTGCAGCTGGTTTTAGTATTGGAACAGTTATTGCTACTAGTTCTGGAGGTGCTGTATTAGGTGGATATATTGCTAAAGCAATGCTAAATACATTAGAATCAAATCGTGAAGAATTAAAAGAATTGGAAAATTTAGTTTCCATTGATGAAAGTAATGTCGACGAAAATGAAAAAAATAAAAAAGTGATTTTTGACATGAAGCAACCGCTTCTTGATAGTAATGAGAATGAAAAATTAAAATCCTTTCTTAGAGGGTTTGAAAGTGCTCGGGAAATTGCCAAAGATAGAGCAAAAAGATTCGAATTTTTGGTTATTAGAGATTTTAAAGGATCTAATTATTTGTATAGATATTTCGTTGATAAACACGGAATTGATTACGTTACTTCGGAAAAGAGAAGTATCTTTCTGAATTTAAATAATCCTTGATTTTTTAAAGAGAGTCATCTGTCATTATCCCCCTATCTACATGTAGATTCAATATCTTTTTTTTAAATGAGGTTTAGAAATTAATAAAATCTATGATATATTTAATCTTCTTTCTAATAATCCATTCGTAATAAAACCATAAGATACTGCTTGGATTGGAATTTTTTCATTTAAAATAATATTAGTGTCTCGATTGATAATGAGGGCATTGTTTCATGAAAGCTACCGACGCCAAAGAATATAACCGTTTACCTTATATCAACCAAAATTTTCATACATCTCAACCTTCAAGCTTCTAAATGCGATAACTATAACACAACTAGCTTTTATGGAACGCTTTATAAGTACTTCATGACATATCGGATATTTAGAACAAAATATTTTACACATATTTTCTCTTATTAGATCAGGTATTTTCATTGAAATCATCCAATACGGCGAGTCTCTTAACAATCTAAAAAACCAGAAATGGTTGTTTCACGTGTAAAGGAAGTAAAAAAAAAAAATAAAATAAAAAATTATTATCGTTCATTACAATTATTACTTACCTATTAAGGGAACCTTATTTCGTGCTCAGGGTCGAAAATGCGGGCGGTTGTTATAGGTTATATCGGATCACCAAAGATTTCAAAATGAGAATAAAGAATATAAAAATAAGCTGAATGGTTTCAATTCAGAAGAAAGATTTTTTGACAAGAGAAAGCTTATATTGACGCCAAAAAAAAAAAAAAGAAATATTTACTTATATTACTTTCCATCTGCATTTCAAACAAATTATCCACTTCTTTGACTCAAATTTAATGGTTGCAGCAGCGTTATATTGTCCACAATATTTAATTATTAATATTTATCGTGACACGAATTCATTTATAACATACGTTTTTCATACCATATTTTATTTATGGATTTAAAAGTTTAAAAAATAAACGAACAAGGTAATCAGTTTAGTTTATAGAGAGTGAAGCAAAAAATTAAACTGAGGTAAGACAGTTTAAATCAAGAGCAAATTAAAAATTTTTACTGAATATCCTTTTTATACATAATGATTGATCAAATGCATTTTCAACAGCAACTATCATTTTTTACAATATAATTATAATCTCCCTTTTAACTTCTTTTGGTCATGGTTGATCACATGCATACAATATAGAAATTGAACAATCAAACGTGTAACAATATCCCACTAGATTGAAGCTAATTATAAATAGCCGTAAAATCCAGTTTTCAAACAATCTCAACAGTACGAACGAAACATAATGGAGATATCTGAGATTCCCGTTCAAAAAATTTTTAAGAGTATCATTCTTGATTCTCTCATGAAGGATGAGTTCATACGCAAGAGACAAAGTACAGAAAACTTTTTTAGTAGAAATGAGTACTTGTTAACAGGTGCGGCGATAGTTGCCGGTGCTGCTTTGGGTCCTTTAGCGGTTACTGGGTTAGTAGCAGCATTAGGATTTGGTGAAGCCGGTATTGTTGCTGATAAGTTAAAATTTTCAACCACTTCTGCTAAACGTTCGAACATTTTCTTTACATTGGGACTACTAAGTGTATTTTCGCGATACTCTTAAAAAAGTCAAACAACATAACCATAATCTGGGTTGTTGCTTTGATCTGCGAGCAGTTCCACTAGTTTTGATCATTTTCTGCAGATAGATGGAGGCCATCTTCATATGAAGATTTCGCCAAGGCTGGAGAATGTTCGTCCTTGAATAGTTCCAAAAATTTTTCACGCACTTCACTACTAACACGTTGAAAACTAAGTGATTCCGCTGAATTTATCACATGATTGTGCGTGAATCGGATATTTATTTCGAACGGATGGCTAGTTTCAAGCCTCCAACTCTCTAATCGAAGATGAATTCTTGCATTGCAACCTGTAATTCGTGTTCGAGATGATTGTGGAAGTTTTGTTTCACGACTACCTTGCTTTTTCTTTACCTCGTTGCTATGGATGCAATGGCATTTTTCTCTAAAAAGTACCCGATTTCCCTTTACTCCATAACCTTTAGATAGTGGCATCGTTGATTTTGAATAAGATTCGAATTCCAGAAACCATTCTTGTGCTTTTTCCTTGTCATTAATGTCTACAAACGCGTCCAGTTCAAATTGTGGAATCGAAAAATTCTCAGAAGTTTGATAAGATGGAAACTCATTAAAGTTTTCGATTAAATATGTGTACCATGAGGAAGTATTAATTTTAAAGGACCCGGTAAAGAAATCCAAGAAAAAATCTAACGGCAGCATAATCAATTTTAATATATTAACAATAAAACTTAAATATATTTATTATGATAACGAAAATCAACAATAAACAAATCGAAAAGCAATAAATTAATATTATTTAATGCTGATAAAAGATTATCATACTTGTAGAGTATCGCGTGCACTTTCCATTGTTTAACAATACGAAACTTGAGGCAACTAATTATTTTATTAATACTTGAATTTTTTAACGATTTTTTTTAAAAAAATAATACAAAAAAATGCTCGATTATTTTAAAAAAATATTGAATTTTTGTTATCTATTATAATTTGGAAGAGTATTTTTTAAAGAGCAAAAGAAAGAGAAGGAAAAAAAGATGGATCAGTATTCAGTAGATAATGTTTATTGCGACACGAATGACACACTGAATAACATGAATTACACGAATTGTACGTAGTGTATTGTAATCACGTGATAAAAGTTAATTGTGGCTGTGGCGCATGTGCCACAGACCTGGCACACAAAAAACAAATGCCAGAGAAACTGATATAGACCGACAAACCATATAAATAACTGTAAAATCCAGAATAAATTTTTTTTTAAAAAAACAAAATTTCGACTTTTAGTATATACTGTACAGTATAAACTACCTGTTGTAAACATTTTTAAAAGTTTCATTCTTGATTCTCTCGAGAATGATGAATTCGTATGCAAGAGATAAAGTATAGAAACTTTTTTACAAGACATAAAAAGATGTTGCTGGATCTATGATATCATTACAAGATGGAGCTGTCCCTACAAGTAGCCTTGTAGCAATTTTTACAATCAGTTGGTGTAGCTAGATTAGGTATTGAGGCAGTTATTGCTGCTGATTCTGGAGGTGATATTCTTGGTAGGTTTATTGCTAAAGCAATGCTAAAGATATTATTAAATCATGAAAGATTAACAAAATTGGATAATTTTATTACCATTAATAATGATAGTGATGATGATGATAATAGTTTACCTATAAAAGTAAAAGATTATTCAAATTTAAAAAGTAATTTCCTGTTCTGAAATAACATAATCATTCTGTAAATATTGATTAAATATTTATGTAAAAAATTTGATCCTTTAAGTCCTTCAAGATATTTTTTACCATCTCTTAAATCATTTGAAGGGTCAATATCACAGGTGAAATTTTTGTCAGTTAGTTTAAATTCAAAGTTCTTAATTCTGTCTTGGAAACTTGTTAAGCTAAGTCAAATCCTTTAAGAAAGAACTATAATATTTCATTCTTATTATTAACGAGAAGTGGTAGTTTTATGTCAAAAATTGATTTTTAAAAAGAATTACTATGTATATTATTTTCAGATATTTACTTATGTTTTTTAAAGTAGGTTTATATTTTAGAATTTGAAAGTTATATAGGAATTTAAATAAAATCTAATACAGTGACTTCCATAATTATTATACTACTTCATTATAATTTTTAGATTATAATAAATAAAAATTCAATGATTAAACAAACAATTTGCAGATTTAATTAATGTATTTTCTGAGTCTTCGTTTATAATATATTCAAATTTAAATTTCTTTTTATTTATAATTTTAAAAAAAAATTTTTTCATAACCATAAATTTTATAGTATAATACTTCTAACGTATATAAAAATAAAATCAAAAACATAAATTTTTCTAACAAAATTATTATTATCTCCTATTAGCCTAAAGTATATCTTTAACTCATTATAATATAATATTAATTAACTTTAAATAAAAATCAGCATCAATTTGATTCTATACTAATTGTAATTTATTTTGCAAATTTTCTGTATTAGTAATATTATTAGAAAGCTGTTATAAATAATGATTAATTTCATTTCACAAATATTTAATAGAATTTAAATCTGATAATTGTGTTAACCAATCTAAAATTTAATATTATTATCATCAAACCACTCATATGCTTTCTTTACTATATGTTTTAATCATTTTTCTATTAGAAAATAACATTATTTACATTCAAATCATATGTATTAAGGGTCTTTAAAAACTCATCTCCCAAAATTTCTCTATATAACTCTCCATCCATTCTTCCATCAATTTTACAATACTTTTTAATACTAAATGAATCTATACAACCTCATATTATTACAGAACCTTTACCAAACTTTACAGTTAGTTTAATATATAGTGATTGCAAAAGTAAATTTTAATCTTTCCAATACTACTCTCTTCTATCTGAGCTAAAAATTAAGAATTTACTCTTATCTGATCATACTACTTTTCACTAATCTTCTATAGTCCAATTCTTAAATTTTAAGCAAATTATTTTCGTGCTTTTCTATATTTCTTTAACAATAATAATTTTTTAAACTTTAGCTATAAGACTTTGCTTTTTAATGAGCATTAAATAATATTTGATGAAACAATAATATTTTCGTTAAAAATTAAAGATTTTTGAATTTGAATAGCATTTATATATTCATCCAATTTACACAAATCGAAGAAAGAAAAATCAGGTAAAATTCATATATCTGATATTGGTATTAACTAATACTATTTTTGTTTTGAATTAAGTTCAATACATATATATGAATCTTAACTGGTTCTTAACGCATATCAGAAATCTTCAATATGAGTTTTGATTAAGTCATATCAGATAAATTATTATGAATATTAGTAGATATTAATGGATAATTAGAAATATAAATATTTTCTGATATATATAAATATCCGCCAGGTATTAAAAAGTATATTTCTTGATCTGTCTAATATTTTTTAACAATAAGCATATTATATAAATTCAATATTTATATTTTATAATTAAAATGTTTTCTGATAATATAAATATAAAATGCTAGATACTAATAATATCTTAGAAATGTTTCATAAATTTCAACCACATGAATGAATCAGAATGATTTTTCTTTTACTTTATCAAAAATTAATATTTATTCAAGATAATATGAAATAGAAATAGCTTATTCTGATGCATTACAAGGTAGTTTAGAGTTATATTCTATATACAATTGATTATTATACTACCTTTTTCTTCTAACTTTATATTCTGAATACTTTTTCTATTAAATTAGCATATCACTATAGTTTTCAAACTTATAGTAGAAAAATTTAATTAATATAATGTAAATAGGTCTATATTTAATTTTATACATTTTACTTATTCTACTAGACCTCTATTGCTTATCATATACATGAAGTATATAGTTCAAATTTTCTTTTCACAGTAGGCAAATATTCTTATCTTTTTCATCTTATACTTTTTTCTGTATCCAATTCAGAGACTTCATCTAAATGATAACCTGAATTGTTGATAATTCTTTCTAAATCTTTAATCCAATCATTCTATAATATTAAAGGTTGTAGATCTATAAGCATTTAATCTTTAATTTTTACTATGTAATAGAACCTTCTTTGACATCTGTTTTTCTTCTTTTATAATAAATAAATAAATAAATTATAATTAATTTCAAAATAGATAAATTATATTAAAGTTGCAAAATAAATAAATTAAACTTATACTTATATCTTTCTTCCTAGTATTTGTACTAGTTCTTTATTTGTTTACTTTCAATTTTAAAGGATTTTAACGAAATAGTATATGCATCCCTTCAATAATGATAAAGATTCTGTAAAACTTTCTTCAATTCTGTATCAGTATACTGGAATCTATCACTAAGTACCCTCTTTATAACTATAATAATATTTTGGGTCACATGCATTCTGATATTTGTCTAATAATTATTATAATCTATTATTAAAGAGTCGTTTAAACCCTTTAAAATTTGAATAACTTTATCTTATAATTAAAAAGGTTAAATAAATTAATTTATATTTATAATCAAATAACTTATACTAACTCAGAATGCTTTCTTATACTCACGATTTATCAGTTCTAAAGTTTTCTGAATATTAGTATATCTGATTAATAGTAAACTAGAAGACGAAAAGTATTGTGCACTTTCATGACTACTAAACTAATAGGAAGCTTCTTTTTATATCGTAGTTCTCTTAGCTCTCTTCTTATATCAGAAACAATCAAATTTAATTCTGCAATTTCTGATAACAAGAGCAATTAAATAATAATTATAATATATTAGCATTAATTAAAATACAATTATTACTTTTTTTTATGAAATTACTTTTCTATTTCTTTTTTTACTTTCAGTTCTTTTATGGTCTTTTTTACCAATATTACTTTCTCTTCTTTCATTTTATTTTCCTAATATTTGAAAAAGTATTTTCTTGACAAGAATATTAAGTTCAACTTATATTCCTTCTTAATAAAGTACCTTCTCAAGTTCAACTTACACTTCTATTTAATGAAGAATATAAGATTCAGTTTGTATTCCTATTTGGTAAAGTATCTTCTCGACAAGAATATAAAGTTTAATTTCTATTCTTGCTTAATTGAGAATATGAAGTTTAGCTTCTATTTCTATTTAACAAAATATTTTTTTGACGAGAGTGTAGATTATCTTTCAAGTATGAAGTATCTTTCCAGTAAGAATATAGTGTTCGACTTCTATCTCTTTCTTCTTATAATGAAGTTACTCTATTACAATCAAAAATAATGAACTTTATAAATTTATTTTTATAAAAATAAATATAAAAAATTTTTTTTTACTTGCTTATATTTGGTTATTGTTATATAATAATATAAAATGGAAAGATGTTTGGAGACAAATAATGAACAAACTAAAAATGAAAAAATAGTTTAAATCAGATAAATTGATCCTAAGTAGATCTATATATACACATAATAATAAATATAATAAATATAATTAAAGTATAAATAAACTTAATTAAACTATTTACGACTAAACAATGCTATTAAAAAAATAAAAATTATCTCATACTTCTCATACTTCATTAAAATGTCTTATAATAAGACTAGCATTCAAAGTGCTTAAAAAAACCCTTATACTCGTCTTTCTCAAACTCAAAAATCTAAACTGTGCTACTGTCAGGCTTATAAAGAAAAATTGGTAGATTTTAAAACTAAAGTAGTTCAAAAAACTCAATTATGCCTCAATGAGAATATACTGTTAATTTTCCTAAAGTATCAGGAATTCTATTTATTGATTTAATACATCCAGATCTAGAAATTAATATAAACTATAACAAAGGATCACAAGCAGAGAGCTATTCATTTTTAGTAAAGAGAACATTGATTTCTTTTCAAAAGACCAGAATTTCTAAAACTTCACTACAAAAGTAATAAACGAATTATTCTCTGATAACAATAATGATGATGCATCTAAAGATAGTAAAAGAGACTATGAAGATAATATTTTAGAATATTCATTAGATGAATCAGAGAAAGCTTGTCAAGTGAATTTCAATACTCTGGTAATAAAATCAAAAAAAACTAATTTTAAGCATGCTGAAGAATTAGATAAAATTTTTTCATAGATCATTATATGAATTTTAAAGTATTAGAAGAGATTTCAGTTATCTAATATAGCTGTAAATTTTTTCTTTAAATTTTTACGATATGTTTTTGTGTATATAGATAAAAAACTATTTGCAACCTTTTCTACATCTCTCTATATAGTATGAAAGAATCTTGAAATTTGTGTTCATTTAATAAAATATGCAATTTGTAAAAAGTGCTGTAAATTGTATAGAATTGCTAACATATCTAGCAATAATCCTAATTTTATGCCTAAATTCATGAATTGCATTTTTCAAGATTTTTTAACTACCCAATAAGTCATAAAAGAACTTGTAGAATTCCATTGTATAAACAAGTCCATATAAAGAATAGCATAATTAAAAATTCAACCTTGATATTTCCTATAATTAGCTTAAAAATATCAGCTAAATCTTCTATTTAAACAAAAAGACTTTGAAGAATTATGTTGAAAATAGGTTAATTGTCCGTTTGATCTAGAAATTCTTGCTAATATTTATGATAGAAGAATATGAAAGTTATTCAATGATGAAAATAGATCATTATTCTTTTGATCAGATGCAGCAGATACTTATATTGAAATAATACTTAGTATAGATTGATTTTAGCCCTTCAAAAATTCTCAATATAGTACAGAAGCTATTTATGGCATTATTTGCAATTTGCTCTAAAATGAGAGGTTTAAACCTTTTAGTATATTAATATTAGTGTTAATTCTGAATCCAAAAGAACTATTGTTGTATCATTTAAATTATTACTTAACTTTACTTGTCAACAGTTAATTGAACTATGATATAGTATAGATTTATTAGAAACTTTTGAATACTCTAATAAAAAAACAATTAGAGATGCAATTATATGCTGTTCTTGTAATATATCTGCTACAAAAAAGCTTTGTAGGCATATATCTGTGAGAATTATATATCACTAATGTAATAAACATACCAGTTTCAATAATAAAAATCAGCTGAATTTTAGAAGATTAGCTGATATGGATAGCTGATTTATAGAAAGAAATGTTGAAGAAATTAAAAATAATGCTCTTGCATGAAAATATTGCAAAACAGAAGAGCAACATCAGAATCATATATAGAAACCTTGATGTAATGGTCCACAATATATTGATCACCTTATTTTAACCTTATTTGCTTTCTTATAATACTGACCCCTACCAAAAGACTCTGAACACCATTTTTTAGATGCGATTTTATACAGATAACGTCATATGACTTTATAATACTGCAGTTATATAATATTCCAGACTTTATTTACATAAGTCAAACCTAATAAATGCGTATTTGGTTTGTTTATTTTGACTTTAAATCAAAATAAACTTTAATCTTCTGAAAACAACGAAAATGATCTAAGAATTAACAGCAGAACAATGTAACACTATATTTTTTTGCTGTCAACATGGTGATAGTTACTGAACTATTTCTGAGACTGTCAGTTGTAGAGTGTCAACAGTATTTGATACTTTGAAAAGGATAGATAACATTAGAACCACTAATTCGAAGCCTTGTTCTAGTCAACTACCTCTTATTAAACCTTTATAATGAAACTGACTCAAGCGACTAACCAATGATAAAAGAAAAAATCATTACTTATGCACTGCAGAAGTTCAATAACTTTAGAAAAAAAAGACCAGCCAAGATGTTTCAGCTCATACTATTGGCTGGACACTTTGTGCAATTAGGCTAAATAATTGTCTTACTCAATGAAAACCTCTAATCTTACTAGAAAATATGAAGGTACGTTTTGTATGGTATTTGGATTACCAAAGCTGAACAAAGAATGATTGGTCAAAAGTTATGTGGAGTGATAAATCAAACTTTTCTCAATTCTAACAAAGCTGATGTAGTCAAGTGTAGCGAGAATCTCAGAAAAAGTGGAACATTTCTTGTATTTCTACTATAGTGAAACACAGATCTAGCCGAATGTTTTGAGGATGCTTTTCAAGACAAGGCTTGGGACCTATTGTTTTATTATTTGGAATAGCAAATAGTGCTTTACATGTTATCATCCTTCACAAGTACATTATGCCAACTATGAGATATGCATTTCTAAATAGTAATGGTATAATCCAGAAGGATAATGCTTGCCTTCATAAAACAAAACTTGCAAAGAAATTTTATGCAGAAAATGATCTGCATATACTTCTATAACTGACTCAAAGTCCAGACCTTAATCCAATTGAGAATCTGTGAACTGATGTCAAGAAAAGTATTTGCAAAGGAAAAAAAACCTTCAAATCTTACTGAACTTGACCGATACATTAAGAAGGCATGGCGAGAAATTCCTATACATACTATTGAAAATTTAATTGATAGTATGTTGCAGCAAATTCAGGTTGTAAATGTAGCAAATGGAGGCTCAACTAAGTACTAATTACTTAGTACAAAATGTATAACATATCATACATTAATAAATATATTAAACTTTTTTTCAATAAACTTTAAAATTTTGAGTTTTATATTGAGCTAAAAGGTATTCAGAGACTTTTTATGGGAGTCTGTAGATCCTATACATTGCCTTTCCTAGGTATTGCTAAATAGATCATAATGAAACTATGAATTGAAGAAGGAAAGTTAAACTGAAAAATCTATTACTTATGTAAGAAAGGACTAATTAAATCCAAATACCAGTGGATATTAGAAGACTTCCAAATAAAATATTGACAGAAGAAGGCTTTTCTGGATTTTTTGCTGACCAGTGGAAAAAATTTATATTAATATATGCAATGTCTATTATCTGAGATCTTTTAAAAAAATCTGATCAAGGAATACTAGTAAACTTTGTTTACACCTATAATATTTTAGTATATAGAATAATATCAAAACAAATTTTATAGAAGCTTATCAATGATTGGTATTGATGGTTAAAGAAATTGAAAAAAATTATAGGCATTTGTGTATGCATTTATGCAAATGCTTATTAGATTATAGCCCTTATATACATTTTAGTGCTACTCAATTAAATGAATAAATAGCTTGTTGGGTAATTTGATTATTTCTAGAATATCTATGAATCTGTATAGAAATTTACTAATAATATTTAAATATATTTTAGGATCGTTTCATAATAGTCAAAGAAAAATTGAATAAGAACTATAAAAATTATATAAACTAATACTATTCTAGATGAAATAACATCACATGCTAATCAAAATTGATATCTTCAGGAGAGTCTTAGAATATTAAAATCTAATGATTTAATTGGGAGTCTTTTCATATATACTGATGAAAACTACCAAACATTTCACTTATTATCAGTAAATATAGAAGAAGATGCAGCTTTTGGTACTTGGATTCTTTTTTAGATTCATTAAAAAAAGATGTATCTTTATAATAAGATATTTTGCTTCTATTGGCAGATTTTATCATAATACATACAATAAAAATTTTGTCATACTATCTCACCTTCATAACGTTTCAGATAAATTTATTCCTGTCCTTTCAAAAGTCAATTAGTTTAGCTGATTAAAAATCAGAACAGAAATATTTAGTTCAACATTGTCTTCTTAGCATGCAAAATCAACTAAAATTGTGACACGTTTTATTTTAAGTGATAACACTTTTGACACATATCCTAACCAAATCCAATTCTTCTTTGAATACACTATTTGGCTACTGAATGGCCTTAAAATACATTATCTAGCTTTCATAAGATAGTATAGACTAGCTAAAAATCACAAAATAAGATTTCACTGTAAAATAGATAAGATAATAATAAAATATGTAATATCGAGTTGTGAAAACTGAAATTTTATAAAATGGAAAGGGATTGTATTATTCCTATATATAATATTTTGTATTAATTTATTTCAGTAAAGTTCAAAGTGAGACAAAAAAATCTGAAAAAATATATGTTAATTATTCTAATAAATAGAAAATTTCACATTTAATGATTTTTTTTTTCATAAGAAAGTATCAAAAGAATATTTTCATTATTTTATTATTATATTTATTGTGTTATATTTTATGATATTACATTTTATTAAATTTAATATTGTTATATTTTGACAGCTGTGATTCATCACATGAGTTGATTATAAGATAATTGAATTACAAATTACATTACATTTTCATTATTTGGCATAAGTATAAATTATCCAATAGAACTATGAATCATAAAACCATTAAGACTTATTAGATAATCTGATAAAATTATAGGACTTAACTAATTTCTTTTGTTAAATATCAGGTTCTATAGTTAAATATCATATGATAATAACTATATCAATACTTACCTGATATGGCTATATCAAATTTTAGCAAATATTAATTCCTAATTTATTCTGATATTTATTTAAAATTTGATAATCTGATATTTATTCATTCAACCTATGTTAATAAGTCTAGTAATATTCCTATCATGATATTCTGTAAGTATTCTTAGGCAGTCTGATTTTAGAATAACATTAAAGCTGCCCATTTCTTCTTTTCTTTGTTTAATTCTTATTATAAAAGTATGACTTATATTTTTGTAAGAAGCAATTATACGATTTAATAAACATTCTTAGATAAAGGTAAAAATATATTCCCTTTGGTAAAGTGGAATCACTTTTATAATATATTTAAAAAAATAAAAGAAAGGCATACAAATTAATCTATTAATTTAAATTTACTTATATGTATAATACATGTCATATAATCATAACTTTATTATATTAATTTTGATTCTAAAAATATTATATCACAAAAAAATTGCATATAAAGAAATTTATTTTAAAAATCACAAATTAAGTAATATTTAAATTTAAAATCTGATTATAGGCTTTAAACTAGTTTAAAATTTTAGCATTATAGTCACTTTAATTATTCAGGTATCACAATCTAAAATTAAAAATAAAGTAATACAATAATTATAAAAGTTACTGTATTTACGTTGATGGTTATTAAATATGATACATAGTAATAAAACTCCTTTATTTTTTACAATTAATGGTATGCAAGCTCTCAATACTAATTATCAAGATTTTTTACAACCAGTTTATTAACATTTAACTTTTAATCACAATACCTATCTATAATATTAATAAAATTATGCAAAGTTTTGATAGAATTCTTTGTAAATATCATACACTTCGCAATATGTTAGATGTTATTTAACTAAATATATTACACATATTTTCCTTTATTAAAACAGGTATTTTCATTATAATAATCCAATTAATATAAGTCACTCAACAATTTAAAAAATCAGAAATTAATTTTTTCACGCGAGTAGAATATTGTAAAAAAAGTTATAAATAAACATCTTTCTCTATAAGAATTTAACTGATCTATGACTTAAAGATTAAAAAAATATTGGAATTGATGAAATGTTTATCAGTATTATTAATTTATTTATTTACTCAAATAATAATTTTTATCTGGTATTCTGTGATTTTTATAATTAATGATGACTATAATAAATTATTTATCAGGTAAAAAATCAGTTATCAGGTAAAAAATCTTTATCAAGCATTAATAATTTTATTAAGCATTATTTATATTAATAAATTTACATTTAAAACTAATTAATTATATATAATACAATTTGTATAATAAGTTTTATTAATAATTATTTTTTTTTCTTTCTTTTTTTCTTTTAACTTATATTTAATTCAGAAGATGAATTTTTTTGTAAAGGTCTCTTATTTTTTTTATTTAATAGTTGCAAAGTCTTTTTAAAACTATTGGATAACTATACAGTAGTGGTAGAAAAAACTGGCAGTAAGTAAAAATTCATTTACTCAATTAATATATATTAAAATCATTTGAAACTTAAAATATAAATAAACTAATATCACATTTATTATATATTAAAATTTTAATATTGAATTACATTGCTATTCCTTTTAATTACCAAATTTACCTCCTTTTTATACTATTGACTAAATTAAGGCAGAGGTTTTAATCAATATTGAACTATTTGCCCTTAATAATTTCCATAAAAATCCTTTGCGTAATCAGTTTTTTTTCACTAATTCATTTATTGATCTTCTTTTTCACCCTTTTCTTGATAATCACCTACAAATTTTCTATTGGATTCAGATTAGAGAAATATGACAACTAATTGAGAACTGCAAGATATTAATTTTTGAGAAAAAACACCGTAAACTTAGCTTTGTGCTTCATATTATTATTCTGTTAGAATATCCAGGATCCCTCCAAGAAGCTGATATGCTTGATCAAAAAGATTATTTGTTAAAATTTCACAGTACAACTCTCTATTCATGTTTTTAGTAAACATGTGAAACCTAACAATTTCTTGCAAATGAAAAGTCCCTTAAACATGAGTTTTGACAACTCCACAAGTTGGTGTTTTTCACATGAATTAAGGTAGTATTACATAATATTTAAAAGGTTGTTTCATCAGAAAAATCCATATTTTTCCAATTTTTATTTTTATGAACTTCTGCCTAAGAAACTCGTCTCTCTTTTGCAATTGAAGTAAAAAATGGAGTTTTTTTAAGAACACAAACTTGGTAACCAAGCATCTAAAGGTTCTCAAGAACTATGTAAGTAGCTATATTAAGACCTGAATAAGTATTATTAAGAGTGTCTGCAATTTTAAAACTTGTTACACCAGCACGCGAATAAGTGAACTGACCAAGGTGACACTGCTTTTTTGGACTTAAAATCTTTGGGTGTTTTAGTCAACATCGTTGTTTTAAATTTTAGTTTTTTTAACTGTGATGACTACTAATACAGTGTCTTTAGTAGGAATTTGGTAATTTTGTGTAATTCGTTTACATTTTGTATTCCATTATTTTATAATGACTTAACTACCTCACATTATTTTTTAATAGAAATTTTTTGCAGCATTATTACATCATATTGATCATAAGGTACTCTTGTGTTCAGTTTTTTTATGCATGTTGATCAGTGTAATATAGTAAACAACTAAACAAAAAATTGGTTTGTGTTGTCCAATCAGATGTGATGTAAATCATTATTTTAATTACATGATTATGACTGCCATTTTTTTCGCCACTACTGTACAATTTAAATTAATTATCAATATAAAAATATATTAATATTGATATAATAAAAATGTAAAAATACCTTGTTTTATAATGCATAATCTTTATTAATACTATTATATTCTACAGTTTCAGTCAATCTTTGCATAACTGAATTAAGAATATTTCTTTTTTTTTCCTTTGTTATTTTAAGATAGTTGCGCATTCCAACTGATAAACTGTGATCTGAAATTGCTATTACTTCAACTTCTTCATTTCTAGCATCAAATATTGATTGAATTGCTGTATCATGTCCTAAATGATTAGAGATATTTCTTCCAGATTAAAGATGGTCCCCATAATTATTTTCAAATTTCAATTGAGTTGCAACTTAATTATGCCATAAGGAAATTTAATTGCGCCACAAGTTGCAACTCAATTGCGCCATTTTTTTTCAATTGCGGTGACCATCTTTATTCCAGATATATTTATACCACATACTAGACAAATTTCTCAAAATATTTCTCTAATTCATTTTTCATCAAGTACTTGATTATAATACATATTTCTTTGAAAATTGTTAAAAAAAATTAAAATTAAGTAGAAATTTAATTAATAATAAAATAATTAAAAAGTATTTACCTGATGCATTTGTTGAGATTCCTAAATAAAATGTTTTAGTTTTAGAATTTAAAGGTCTCATTGAAATATACTTACGAATATCTGCATTAGGTTAAGCCACACCCTTAATATCTGATGAAAATGGTATTTCAAAGGTAGCTTGATTACCTTCTAATCCTCCTAGATCATTTTTTTGTTGAAATTTCTTAAAAATAAATCTCTTTTCTGTATCTTCAAATTGGTCAATTAGTAAATTGTAATGTTCGCCACCTCGTGAACATCCTAGCAGACAAATCCAAAAAAAAACTTTCTAAAGTAATCCTTCAGATTCATTTGAAGACATGGCATTATTAAATAAAAATAATTTTTAATTTCTCATTTGTTAAACTTTCATGTGGTTTTGGAGCACCTATTCCTAATCTTTTCATTTCTTTTAAGGTACCATCAAGTGTGGCATGAAGTTTTGGAAATTCTTTTATCTAAAAGATTATAATTCCATTGTAGTTTAGAATTTTTATGATGACAGCTTATTGAGGCAACAGCATTTTTCAAGAAAGCTCTTGAGTATTTTTCGCCTTTTGTTATTCTCATACCATATATAAATTCGCACATTTCATTTTCTATTTGTTCATTAGAGAAAAGTGATTCAAAGGAGTAGGTATAGTCCACATTTTTGCGCCAAGTATTTAAAATATTGACCCATTTTTCAATGTATTTAACTGTATTTAATAGTACACGGCTTTGTTGAACCCTTGAAAGTTCCTCAGCTGTAGGTTTGAAATAAGTCTAAAACTTTGTTAGTTATTAATATTAATATAATTTATAGCTTTAATATGTAAAATTACTTACAATTTCCATTAACGGAATTTAGTTTGCGAAAGTAAATTATTCTAAAATTTGTAAAAAAAGAAAAAATATCGTGAGAAAAATTGTTGTGGGAAAAATATTATTTATTTATAAAAAAAAAAGTTTAAAAATGTTAAAAAAATAGCTTAATCACGGGAAACCGGATAAATCACTTATCCGGCACTTCGAGCCGAATAACTACCGCTACCTACAAGGTAGCTAATAATATTGGGAATCAAATTTGATTTTCCCAATATAATAGTTATTCGACACGAAGTGCCGAATAACTATTAAGTATTTCCGTTATTATCTATTAAGGAAATCTTTAAAAATATTAAAATGGCATAATTATTACCATAACTAGAATTTCATTTTGCGCAAACAAAGTCAATATCCAGCTCACAGATAATCATGAGGTATGTTCAAAGGAACAATGAATCAACTTAGTAACTTTTCGTCAAATATTTGTTCGATTGAATTATGATTTCTAACGCTTTAATAGAATAACATAAGCTGAATGGATATAGTTCAGTTTTAATTTCTTGAAAAGAGAGTTTATATTGACGCCAAACTTATATCCACTGGTTTAATAATAACCGAACCGTACCTATTATTTTTTTCTCATGACAGAAACATATTTTATTTATAGGTTTAAAAGTTTAAAATATAAATAATTAAAGTAATCATAATATACGAAATTAATTAATAAAATAATTATCATCTTTTTATTTTAAAAAATAAACTTTAAATTTTTAAAAAACTTTTGCATTATTTAAATATGTGATCCATAAACAATGAAAATAAATATCAATTGTCCTATTTTTACAAATCCAATTAATTGGTTGATCACAAACACTGATGGCTAAAAAAACTTGCAGCTACAGTACAGTAATTATAAATAGCCGTAAAGAAAAAAAAAACCTTCAGAGAAAAAATTCAATCTCTACAATACAATGGTAAACATATCCGATATTCCCGTTAAAAAGTCTCATCCTTGATTTTTTCATGAAGGACGGGTTTATAAGCAATCCATTAAGTACAGAAAGCTTTTTTAGTAGAAATAAAAAGTATTTGTTAGCAGGTACTGCGGTAGTTGCTGGAGCTATTTTGGGTCCCATTGCAATTGGTGGGGTAGTAACAGCATTAGCTGAAGCAGGTATTGCAGCTGGTTCTATTGCAGCATGGATGATGTCGTTAGAAGGTGGAGCTGTCGCTGCGGTTAGCCTTGTGGCGATTTTACAATCGGTTGGTGCTGCAGGTTTAGGTATTGGGGCAGTTATTGCTTTCGGTTCTGGAGGTGGTATTGTTGGTATTTTAATTGCTAAGACGATGCTTAAGGTATTAGAATCAAATCCCGAAAGATTAGCAGAATTAGAAAACTTTGTTTCCATTGATAAAAGTGATGATGATGATGAAAAAAATAAATTGCATAAAAAAGTAATTTTTGACATGAAAAAACAGCTCCTTGATAATCATTTCTTAAAGGGTTTGACTTGGCTCGGGAAATTGCTAAAGACAGAGCAAAGAAATTCGAATTTTTAGTTATTAGAGATGATGAAAGGTGTCATGAAGGGATCGAAATATTGCATCAACACTTGATCAAAATCAACGGAAGTAATTGTGTTACTACGGAACAGAGAAATTATGTTCTGAATTTGAATAACCTTTGATTTTCAAAGAACACTACTGGCAATATCCTCTTTTTTAACGTTTACATGTAGATTCATTGCATTGTTATTGATTTTTGTTTATTTTTTTGTTTTACATATTTTTAAAGGAGGTTTATATTTTTAGATTTGAAAGTACAGTATGTTTGAAATTTAAATAAAATCTATAATAATCACTGATGGTGATGAAAATTATATGATAAATTTAACTTTATTTCCGGTAATCAATTTGTAACGTTCATAATGATTTTACTAATAACACGCCTTGGATACAATTGTTCTTTAATTTTTTTTTTGTAAGCGATTTCCTAAAATGTACTGTCAACCTTAACACATTTAAAAAATATTAGTGACATTATCGCGGGAATTTTACGACAAAAATTTCCGTTTGATTGATCATTATTAATTTACGAATTCATTTTAAATTATAACATATCGTATTTAACATATAGATAAGGAGTGATGCAAAAAAAAGAAGAGCAGCAAAATCTTGAAATTTGAAAATTCAAACAAATTTGAGGCGAATACAATTAGAACATGAAAAGACAATTAAATGAATTATAATACAATTTATTAAATTAATAATATTATATATTAACATACAGAATTATTTTTTTATTTTTTTTTTTGCTGACCTGAACCATAATTAACCGGTTAAATATCTAGTTAACAAGGTTTTTTTAATAATTGTAATCGTTAACCCAAAAATTATTAAAATTAGCTACAAACCATATAAATAACCGTAAAATCTGAATAAATTTTTTTTTTAAAAAAAACAAAATTTCGACTTTTAGTATATACAGTATTTATAATGGATAAACCCTTTGTAAAAATTTTTAGAAGTATAATTCTTGAATCATTAATGAGGGATGACAAAGTACAGAAAACTTTTTTACAAGACATAAAAAGATGTTGATGGCAGGCACAGCAGTTACAACAGTTGTTACTGAAGCTATTTTGGGTCCCATTGCATTTGGTGGAGTAGTGGCAGCATTAGGATTTACTGAAGCAGGTATTGTTGCTGGATCTATGATGTAGTTACAAGGTAGAGCTGTCGCTGCGGGTAGCCTTGTGGCGATTTACAATCGGTTGGTGCAGCTGGTTTAGGTATTTGGGCAGTTATTGCTGCTGGTTCTGAAGGTGGTATTTTTGGTGGGTTTATTGCTAAAGCAATACTAAAGATATTATCAAATCATGAAGGATTAACAGAATTGGATAATTTTGTTACCATTAATGATGATGGTGATGATGATGATAAGATTTTGCCTACAAAAGTAATTTTTGACATGAAACTACCGCTTCTCGTTAGTAATGAGAATGAATATTAAAGTCCTTTCTTAAAGGGTTTGACTTAGCTCAGCAAATTTCCCAAAACAGAATCAAAAATTTTGAATTTAAACCGACCGACGAAGATTTCACTCGCGACATTGACTCTTCGAATGATTTAAGATGTGGTAAATTATGTCTTGAAGGACTTGAAGGATCAAATTTTTTATATAAACATTTAATCGAAACTTACGGAAATGATTGTGTAACTTCGGAACAGGGATATTACTTTTTAAATTTGAATAATCTTTGTTTTTCAAAAAGAATTAATGGTGTTATCCTCCTTTTTAACATACAGGTACATTATTTTCAAATAATCAGAAATTGATTTTTTCACGTGAGTAGAATGTCGTAAAAAAATAAATAAATAAACACCTTTCTCTATAAGAATTTAACTCTGATCCATGACTTGAAGACTAAAAAAAATATTGGTAATTGATGAAATGTTTATAGGTCATTATTATTAATTTATTTATTTACCAAATTATTATTTGTATTTCTATCAGAGAAATCTTTAAAAATATTGAAATGGCATAATTATTACCATAACAAGAATTATTCTTTCATTTTGCATAAACAAAAGTCAATATTCAGCTTACAGTAAATCATGAGGTATGTTCAAGGGAACAATGAATCAACTTAGTAACTTTTCGTCAAATGTTTGTTCAATTGAATTATGATTTCTAACGCTTAATAGAATAACGATCATAAACATAAGCTGAATGTTAGTTCAGAAAGAAGTAAGTTCTAATTTCTTGAAAAGAGAGTTTATATTGACGCCAAACTTATATTATTTTCTATCCACTGGACTGGTTTCATAATATTGTGATTCACGTGAATAAGGTTGCCGGGCAAAACCCGGAGGTTTCGACAGGCATCGAAATCGAAACCCGTCGAAAGTTTTTGTCAAATATTTTATTAAAGGCAAAATCGCGAAAGTTTCGACGGGTGGCAAAAGTTTCGGCGGATGGCGAAACCTTCTGATATTAAAATACAATTTTTGAAATTTAAAAAATTATTATTTTTGTTTACAAATCGTATATATCAAAGGTCATTTTCTTTTAAAATATCATATATTTATTATAAAAGATAAGAAAAAAATCAAAAAATTTAAACTCATGACATATCCCTATCTTCTTCTTCACCCATTAAACTTCATTTGAAAATCATCATCTATAGGTTGGAACCGGATTTGATAAATCAGTTCGATCCTGGCTTGCTACTCAAAATTAATACTAAATAAAAAACCGTTAATCAAAATTTTAAATTAAGGTGTGAGCTTGTTGATGATAAAAAAAGGACAAGTTGTTTTCTTTCAGAAATAATTTGAATGAGCTAAAAACAACTTCTCATGCAGCACAATGATTTACCTATTTTGCTGTTTGATAGTATTAATATGAAATTCATTTATGTGCGACGATATGATAAAATTTGTTAGTTTGAAATAGTTCGGATTTAAATCCGGAGCTGATTTTTAAAACCGAAATATAAAAAATAAACCCAGGTTCCAACCTCTATCATCATCTTCTTCATAAGATAATTCTTCTAATTCTTCAACAAGTTCCTGTGCTTACAAATTTAAAGTCTTGATTTATATTCTAACATTGCGATACAATAAACCAATTAAAACCCGTCGAAACTATCGATCATAATATACGAAATTAATTAATATAAGGATTTTATTTTTCATCGCCATGGGCATGTCACTCATATCACGTGGTTATTATCATCGTGTGTACTGTACGTTATTTTATCACTATAGATTTGATACAATAAATTGCAATCTTTTTTTTATTATATAAGCAATATAATACAATACAAACATTTCGCATAAACCTAACTAATGACCATACGATTGTACCTTGCAATCTTTTTGATAGTGTCCTACTTCTCCACATTTTCTATATTGTCATTGACTTTTTGCATTAAATTTAGGAGTTTCACAAGCTGATTTAAATCTCTTAGTGCCTAGTGAACACCCTTTGCCACGTTTTTTCTTTGGATTTTGCAAGAATGGTATCGATGGATCTAAATATTCCTTACCACTTGATTCATAACGCCATCAGCGCAGCGGTCATTGTGTCTCTCGGCCTGACGGCCTCGAGCCCCCCTTTTTTCGGGGGGAGAATTTTTAAAACTGAAATTCTTTAACCTAACCTTAAACCCTAAACTCTAAACCCCAAACTCTAATCCCCTAACACTATCCCTAACCTAAGTCTAGGCTCTAACCCTAAGCCCTAACCCTAAACCTAACGCCTAAAAAACAACTCTGAGAAAAAAATACATTACCATTTTCGTCTAAGATATCATCGGTCATATTTTATGCAAGTGCAAAGTGTTTGAAATAATATTCGTACGTAGGTAATACAGCCAAAGCAAAAAAAAATAATGTGGCATAAACAACAGATAAACTGAACTGAAATAATAGTTATATGTAAAACTTCTAAACGAGTATAGTGTTGAGTTGCGCAAATAACACTAAAGTTCTTTGAGAAATGTTAAAATATTTTAAAATATGAGAGAAAAACTCTTGAGAAGAATAGTAAAAGGAGAAAGGTTATTAGAGATTAAGAAAAAATAGTAAAGATGATAATAATTATTGAGATGATTAGATGAATAAAATTAAAATGTCATGATCATATGAATATCACGTGCATATAAAGGACTGGCGATAAATCGCATACGCGATAAATGATAATTTTCTTTTAAAAAATAAACTTTAAATTTTTAAAACTTTTGCATCATGAACAGAATATTATACATATTTAATCAAAAGATCAAACAATATTTATTATTTAAATTATGTGATCCATAAACAATGATAATAATATCAATTGTCATATTTTTATAATCCAATTAATTACAAACACTGTTGGCAAAAAAGACTTGCAGTTAATTATAAGTAGCCGTAAAGGAAAAAAAAAAAAAAATCTTCAGAGAAAAAAAACTTAATCTCTACAATAGAATGGTAAATTTATCCGATATTTCCGTTTATAAAAGTCTCATCCCATAAAGGACGGGTTTATACGCGATCCGCCAAGTACCGAAAACTTTTTTTATTAAACATAAAAATTACTTATTAACAGGCACTTTAGTGTTGCTGGAGCTATTTTGGGCCCCATTGCAATTTGTTGGGTAGTAAAAGCGTTAGGATTCGGTGAAGCTGGTATAGCGGCTGGTTCTATTGCAGCATGGATGGTTCGCAATTCGGTCGGAATTGGCCTTCCCAATAAGAAAAAAAAAAACAAGGAAAATTGAATTCTTGGCTTATTATATTTAGAATTTTACCCCGAATAGTTCCTTAATTTTTTGTTTTCTTTCATAAATTTGTTTTTCTTTGGTCTCTATGTCATTACATCGTGGAGCTGTCGCTGCGGGTAGCCTTGTTGCGATTTACAATCTATTGGCGCTGTAAGTTTAGGTATTTGGGCAGTTATTGCTGTCGGTTCTGAGGTGGTTTTTTTGGTATTTTAATTGCAAAGACGATGCTTAAGATATTAGAATCAAATCCCGAAAGATTAGCAGAATTAGAAAACTTTGTTTCATTAATGAAAGTGATGATGATGATGATGATGATGATGAAAAAAATAGATTGCATAAAAAAGTATTTTTTGACATGAAAAAAAAACACCTCCTCGATAGAAATGCGATTGAAAAATTAAAATCATTTCTTAAAGGGTTTGACTTGGCTCGGGAAGTTGCCAAAGACAGAGCAAAGAAATTCGAATTTTTAGTTATTAGAGATGATCATGAAGGGATCCAAATATTGCATCAACACTTGACCAAAATCAACGGAAATAATTGTGTTTCTTCTGAACAGAGTAGTTACGTTCTAAATTTGAAAAATCCTTGATTTTCAAAGAGCATTACTGGAAATATTATCAAATTTTTGTTTTTAATTTTTTTTAAAGGAGGCTCATATTTTAAAAAATCTATTTATCCGATACCCTCCCGTAATTTTTTTATAATTAACTATGACTATAGTAAATCGTGTTTCAGGCACTAAATCGGTTATCATCGTGTATCAGGCAATTAAAAATTGCATAATTTTAAATATTTGTAATAATTGTCCTATTTGCTTGTATTGGAAAATATTCTTGTAATGCCTTATTCATTAATTGTGAAGCCTTTTATTAAAAACATTAGATAATCAATATATTAAAATTAAAAGAAGCTTCATAAAATCCATTTATAGTTGTTAATTTTTAATTCTACACTATAAAAATTCGTATTTTAAAGTATTTCGTGGTGAGAAAAAGAAAAGATTAAATTACGTGATACCGGATAATATCACTTATCCAGCACTTCGAACCGAATAGCCACCGAACCACCGCTAACCTAAGGTAGCTGATTGTGATTCGGGTTCCTGCGGAGCCCGAATTCAACCAATCAAATTTGATTTACCCAATTAATATACATATTCTCCGACGAATAACTATTTTTATATATTTAATTATTTCCGGTAATCATTCGTAAATTCCGAATGATTCTATTTATGACACGCTTCGAATTCTCCTCAATTTCTTTTCCCAAAATAAAGTGTTCCCCCAAAAACGTGATGATAATATTAGTGATTCTATTGTACTATTTCATACCCCACAAATCTAAAATGTCGATAAAATTACTGAATAGCGAAGTGTATATGACGCCACGAGTTGTTGAATGTTCGCTTCAACCAAATATTTTCGCTGTCCAGTTTTTTAATAATCTAATAAATCAGAAATTGATCTTTACACGTGACAAGGAAGTTTCTCTATAGAAGAAATTTAGCACCGATCCAATTTTTCCGGCGGAAATCCCGATTGATGAAATTATTAATTAGTTTTCCCGTTATAACTATTAAGAGAATCTTATTTTGTGTTCAGGGGTAATTATTACTATAACAAGAACTTATTGTTTTTTATTTCGTTCATTTTGCACAACCAGCGTCTATATCCGGCTCACCGAATTTTGCGGATCACGAGGAATATCAAGGGATGACAATGAATCTATCAAATTTGTAATTTTTTGTCAAATATTTGCTCAATTGAATTAACTCTTTAAAAACGTGATTGAATAATATAAACTCAAGCGAATGGTTTCAATTCAGAAGAAAGTACGTTTTGATTTCTTGAAAAGAGAGAGAGTTTGTGTTAACGTCAAAAAAATATTACTTTCCATATCGTTCTTTACCTCATACAATTTATAATCCCTTAAATCAATTCACTTTTTTTATTTTAAAAAAAGGAAGTTCAAACTTGCCATTTTCATACCACATTTTATTTATGGTTGTAAACAAAAACCATCGGTTTATAAAGGAATCGACCTATTTGGTATGGAAAAATGAAATTTTTAGCACAAAAAAAAAATAAAATAAAAGAGACACGAATCTGGGGTACAATCCATGTTGGCTACTCTTTGATTTACCCGGTCGTCTGACAATTGATCAATAAAAATTAACCCAATTTCATGTTTATTCATTTACCTACAATTATTTCTAAAAGATTAAATAGTCGGTGATAAACCTTTTATGGTTAGTTTAGGGGATAGACGATCCAACATTTTATTTTATTTTAATAGTGGAAAATCAAATCCACATGACAACATTTAAATAATTCAAATAATTTAAAAAGACAACCATT